TTAGATAAGGGATGGGCAGGCAGGGTAGAGGAGGGAGCACAGAGAGGGATAACCAGCACTAAAAGACATTTTTAAAAGTCATATGGAAGTCTACTACTGTAGAAGCTTCTTAAAATATAAGCATATACATACATAAAAAGTTTAAATAGAGTTATCTTGAAATGGGGAGAGAATGCCCCTATGAGACACAACAGGTTAACAGATTAAGAATCCCAGTCCCAGGAATGGGTTACCCCTTTTAGAGTTGTTGGTCAAAGAGTTCTCATAGACTGCCAAACATTACTGGTTATTGCCACTGCTCTTGGTTGCCCTCCAGAACTTGATAGTAAGACACGTTTGCTGAACACACTACACACTTGGGTTGTAGACTATGGAGAAATCAAGTTGACGCTGACTTCAAAGCTTCATCTTTACGGGCTAGCTTTAATAATGCTAGAAGGTTCTATGCACACTACTGGAAAAGGAGACTAATCATCAGTCTTACCCAACTATTAACCCTGTGAGCCACAATAATGAATGACCTGGTAAGATATGCCAACTGGTGCAATAGTGGCATGGATGTTATGGGAGTAACCAAACACTTTCTGATTGGATTTTTAAGACCCATTCCACAAGATGGAACCCGCACCCATCACTATTATCACAGCCAAGATCTTGTGACTAGATTATAGACCCTAGGGGGTCTCCCTAGGCGAGATCCTACTGCTATAATTGATTGTTATTGTATTTCTGTATCTGCTTTGTTCTGGTGTTGTTGCTGGCCTGCTGTTTGCTTTCCCCTTTCTGGGTGGTACTGGTTATTGAGTCCTCAAGAGAAGGCTACTCACTAAGAAGGGCCCCACATAAAGCTGGAAGAGAAATCCATCCCCAAATATACAGAAATCTCAATGTACAAGAAATATGAAAAACTCACAGGAAATATTTTTAAAAATCAAAGCAATGTCACTCCTCCAAGAATTCATAACTCTTTGATAGCTGAATCCAAATATATTAAAAGGGCTGAAACACCAAAGATTTTAAAATTCTAGTTTTAAAATGATATATGACCTCAAAGGAGGTTAAAATAAGCAGGCAAATAAAGTAAAGAAGTTAATTCAAGACATAGATGAGATAGTCAGTGCCTTAGAAGAAATAGAGTTCTGGAAAGGGCATGGCAGGGGAGACAAATGGAAATCCTGGAAATGGAAGTCTCAATAAATTAATGGAAAATATCACCAATAGACTAGACAGGGTAGATGAATAAGCATCAGGGATGGAAGGCACAGAGGAGCAGCTGAGAGTGGGCTGTCAGGACTCAGCAGTAGCTAAGCACTAAAAGATAAAGCAACTTCTGGGCTGGAGGGATGACTCAGCAGTTAAGAGCACTGGCTGCCCTTGCAGAGGACCCAAATTCTATTCCCATCAACCACATGATAGCTAATGGTCATTCATAACTTCAGTTCCAGGGGACTTGGCGCCCTCTTCTGACCTCTGTGGGCTTTGCATGACACAGGTGCACTTACATACATGCAGGCAATACACTCATACACATAAAATAAAACTAATAAATAAAACATTTAAAAAGATTTAAAAACTCAGAGACATAATTTTTTTTGTCTTTTTGAGACAGGGTCTCCCTGTAGCCCCAGCTATCCTGGAACTCACTATGTAGACCAGGCTGGCCTTGAACTCACAGAGATCCTCCTGCCTCTGCCTCCCAAGTGCTGGAACTATAGGCATGTGCCACCACACCCAGCTCGAGACACAAATATTTTATTAATGGCATTGTTTAGATTTATTAATGTGCTAGCAAACTGAAAATTATTTTAAAATATTATGGATAATAATTTATTATCTATATTTTTATTACTTTTTTATTATCTTTATATAGATAACCTTATATTATCTTTATTTCCTGCATCTTGAGTGAACAATCTTCCTAGGGCTAATGTTCAGTGTCCCTCAAATATGAGTTCATATTGATATAAATAAACAAAAAAGAGAGATCTTCATAGTTCCAAAGTATCATAGTGTGTTAGTTACTTTTTTGTTGCTGTGATAAAATACTATGACTAAGGCAACTTACAGAAAGGAGAGTTTATTTGACTTCCACTTCTGGAGGGGGAGTCCATAATGGTGGGAGGCATGGCAGCTAGCAGCAGTCATGTGGGCAGGAACTGAAATCTGAGCTCATATCTCCAACCACAAATGCAATAGAGAGGACACAAACCGGAAGGAGGAAGAGGCTATAAACCCTCAAAGCCCACCCCGATGACACACTTCCTCCAGGAAGGCCACACTCCTAAATCTCTGCTACCAACTGGGGACCAAGTGTTCAAATACATGAGCCTATGAGGGGCAGTTCTCATTTAAATCACCACATATAGTTACTAATTTAACAAAAGAAAAAGAATAGATTTGTGGTAGAAAATGCAGGTACAAGCTACATTAATCATATGACTAAAGCAGACATCATATCAAGACAAATTAAAACACATGCCACAGTTAAAATATGACGGAGACTTTCATTTTCATGGGAGTTCTGCAAAATGCAGCGTCTGAATTTAATCATGATTTAATCTATCAGAAAAAACCAAGTGAGTAATGACTGACTGGGCATGTGAGTCTGAACTGGATCCGTTTCCTATGAAGGATATTATAGGGGACATAAACTGCACATCCTACTTGAAGGCTACTGTATCAGTGACCATTTCTTAATTTTGATGGTTGTTTTGTGATTCCTAGGAAAGTATTTTCACCTTTTGGTTGTTGGCCTTAGCCATTAACAGATGTGCCATCTCTCCATGGCCCAGAAAATATTTTCTATGAACGGCACATGAAAGTACTGGGGTGATGGGGACCATGCTGGCAGCCTATTCTTTTTTTTTTTTTTTTTTTTTTTTTTTTTCAATGCTAGAACTCAACTCAAAGTCTCATGGAGCCAAGGAAGTACCCAACGATTGAGTTACATACCCAGACCTGACCACCTACTTTTATAGTTTCAGGGAAATGTTTTGCTTGTTTTCCTGAAACGTTTCTACAGATTTGAACTGTTTCAACACCATAAAAAGAACGAGGAAAACGGAAGCTCGAAAACTTATATACTGTGATGAGAGGCAGGTGAATGAGTGGCAGCTCCAGTCTGGAATGCAGGTGGTCACGGTATGAAAGCCACACTCTCCTTTGCCAACCACTTACTAGTCCTTACCTGTGGGTGAAGCTTCCCCTCTAGCCTACCCCACGCTGCCACAGGCCCTTGGTCCCTCATCCCATGACTAGCCCAGAACCCATCCCAGAGACACAGGGCAGGCAGCTAAAAGCACTGAGTATTCCCAGGGACCCCGCCTGACTTCCTGTTACTGCCCATCCCTACCAGATCTCCAAACTCCTTGAGGATTTCAAGATTGTTAAACCACTTCCAGAGAAGTGTGAGGTGGGGAACCATGGCAAGAGGAAATCCCCAGGCTTCCTTCTGAGTGCTTTCCCCCAGCTGCCAGCCATGTGCCCTGTTCAAGCCACTTGACTAAGAGGGAATCTAGTTTTGAATAGGGGAATTTCATCAATTAGGGCTTCAGATGTCACCTAATGATCTAAAACAAACCCCACTGCAGATTATTAGACATGCTCCGTGGCTCAAACCTGAAGCTCTCCTGGAACCATTCAGGGCATTCTATCTCCCCTCAGCTGACTGTGCCAAGACAGAGGGTGATGAAAAAAAAATCTATATTGCCCTACCACTGTTCATGAGCCAGCAGTGAAACCACAGGCTCTGGAGGCAGAGGCAGAGGCTGGAAGGCTGGGGACTCAGTGATAAGCCGGGTCCCTGGCCAGTGTGTACCAACTCAAACTGACCAACCTGAACTTGAGTCACAGACATGGGCCCTGATACTGATCCTGAAAGGTCTACAGAGGCATATGGACCTGGGACACAGGCAAAGGGTTTGATTGGAGGTCCCATGTGCATAGGAGTGCTCCAAAGTGCTGAGAACTCTCAAGGCCAAACCAGGACCCCAGTGGATCTTCATCTGTACCTAGATAAAGGCTTTCATTGTGTACTGTCCAAGTGAAGTGTGTTAGGAATAGAAAGAATCCCTTGGCGAGAGCAAGATTTCCTTCTTATACACCTGGGTTTACCTTCTGCAGATTCTCCCCTCAAAGATCCTAAGTGCTCTTCTTGTTGAGTGTTCTATGGGGAAGTGAGCTGTGCAAACAAGATGGCTGCTTCCTGCCAGGCTCTCCCCTCCCTAGAACAGGCCCTCCCTTGTGACAGGACTTCTGAGGGCGGGGGAAGCCTTCAGTCTGTGTGTCTATAAACGATGCCGTCCTCTGGCCCACTCTGACTTGGTGACAGATATCCACACAGCCTGCAGGCTCTGTGTGCAGGTGAGCTTGGCCTCCATCCCCTGGGTGTCCTCCAGTGTATAAGGGTTCTGGCGGAAAGGTCCATACACTTAACTAAGGGCTAGCTGGGAAGGAAAGGATGTCACATTATTGACACTTTATAGGGACAGGCTGTGAACCCTGGTCATCTCTGTTTATCCTTGGATCACTGATCCCTGAGATCCTAAAAAGAGGTAACCAAGAATCTTAAGAGACAGATGGAATGGATTGGTGAGGGACCACATCCCTCCTTCCCAACAGACCATCCTATTAGGATTGTCTACAGAGAACAGCAGGTTCAGCTAAGGTCAGAAAGCTGCAATGACTCCCCTAGAGCTACGTAGGGAGGTGATAACAGAAAAGTCTCCATGAGGACCAGGGCCTCCGACTCCCCAGGACTCTGTTCCTCCACTGCCTGCGATCAGACCAGAGGGTTAGAGCATGAGATCGTGTTAGATTTCCAACAGTGCTGGGGGTTTCTGGGTGTGGATAGTTTGGGTCCTTCTGGTAGCCTTGCCTGTAGTTGCCTGGCTGTCATGCTCTGCCGTGTTCCTGAGTCCTTCAAAGTGCAACGGGAATGGGGGTCAGAGGAGACCTATAAAAATGCTGCAGACAGCTGGTGGGCCTTCTCTTCGGCAGGAGAAGCAGCTGGAGTGGGAGCCATGTTGCTGTGTTCTTTGACCTTCGCCTTCATCTTGATGGTGGTTTCTGGTATCAAGTGCAATGGGACAGAAGTGTGTGCTGGAAGCCCTGGCATCCCTGGAACTCCTGGAAACCATGGGTTACCCGGCAGAGATGGAAGAGATGGTATCAAAGGAGATCCTGGACCCCCAGGTACCATGTGGCAGGACCCACTCTCAGCTGGAAGACAGGGATCTGTCTCTTGGTGGGTAGGGTATGATGGGATTTTCCTGGAGTCCTTAGGCTGGAGCATCCTGGAGAGTGTGTCTTCAAAGTCCCCATGGAGTGACACATGATAATAAAGGTCCCCTTCTCTCTGCAGGCCCTATGGGTCCCCCTGGAGGAATGCCAGGAGCCCCTGGGCAGGATGGTCCACCAGGAGCCCCTGGTGCACCCGGAGAGCATGGGGACAAGGGAGAGCCTGGCGAGAGGGGTCCTCCAGGTGAGCAGGGATTGGGGCAGTAGGCAGTGGTGACATGCATGGCACCTGTACGGTCAGTCACAGGGGGAATGACAGGAATCAGTCAAACCATGGAGATACCCAAGGCATACTGCTCAACCCAAGTAAAAAAAAAACTGTGCGGTTGAAGAGAGAAACCCTCGGGGAGGTGGTCTGAGTAGCCTTACAAGTCATAGACTGATGAGCATCATGACTGCTGATGGAGAGACACAAGGTGTCCTAAAGGGAAAGAAAGACAGCGCTCCTGAGGCCTAGGAGTCCTCCTTGGGGCTGAGACGCTGGGAGCACCCTGAAAAGTAGTTAAGGTTGCGTGGATGGACCGGGCATCCAGGCAGAAGATGTGACCCAGAGTCCCACATGTTGGTGGGAGCTCCAGGATACTGAGCAGTATCGTGGCCCATCAGGAGAGTACAGAAGTCAGCATAGCTGCCCTTGGTAGAATGTGGTAGAGAGGGTCCTTTCCATAAGCCAGAAAAAAACTCGTAAGTGGGGACCTGGGGTCATTCAAGAGGCAGCCCAGGGAAAAGAAGAACAGGAAAAGCCTTGTAATGGGTCTGGCATGGCATTAAATGGCAGAATTCCAGACTAGCAGCTGGCAGAATGCCTGATGGGCAGCAAGCAGGGCTCTTTGCTGACTTGCCCTTCATCCTGGGTGTGTGTGGGGATGTTTCTCACAGGCTTTCCAGCTTATCTGGATGAGGAACTGCAGACCGAACTCCAGATGTTCAGACATCAGATCCTGCAAACAATGGGAGGTAAGGGGACTGCTTGGGATCCCACAGGATATGGGGTTCTCAAAGCTCTCCTATAATCCCCAGTACCAGAATCCATAACCTAGAGGTCTGACAAGTAAATGTGGATATGTGGGTCTTGGGGAAGGGAAGGATGCTTTCCTCCTCTTCTCTTCTGTCTTTGAATGGCCCCAAGAGACAGAAGTGGGCATGAATTTGCTCCCAGTGTCATGGGAAGGCACAAAATAGTTTCCGGTGATAAGTAACTGTTTAAATGGATGAAAGCAGAGTGAGGAATTTTTAATTATTATTTTTATTTTACGTGTATGAGTGTATTGCCTGCATGTAAAGTGCACCTGTGTCGTCCAACGCCCGCAGAGGACGGAAGAAGGCATCGGGTCCCCTAGAACTGGAGTTAGGATGGTGGTTAGCCTCCATGTGGGTGCTAGGAATCAAACCCAGGTCCTCTGCAAGAGCAGCTAGTGTTCTTAACCACTGAGCAATCTCTCCAGCCCAAGAGAGATGCATTTTTAAAAAATTAAGCTTAGAAGAACGGAAGACATTGAGAAAGGCAGAGATGGCGCTCAGAGAGCACTTAATGGCAGGGGCCCAGGTAAGTGAGGCAGATGGAGAGACAGAGACCAGTGGCCTAACTCAGACTCCTCTGTTCTTAGTCCTCAGCTTGCAAGGGTCCATGATGGCCGTGGGAGAGAAGGTCTTCTCTACCAATGGGCAGTCAGTCAACTTCGATGCCATTAGTGAGACATGTACCAGAGCAGGTGGCAACATTGCTGTTCCAAGGAACGCAGAGGAGAATGAGGCTCTTGCAAGCATCGTGAAGAAGTACAACACTTATGCCTACTTGGGCATGGTTGAGGGAGAGACTCCTGGAGATTTCTACTACCTGGATGGGGCCCCTCTGAACTACACCAATTGGTACCAAGGGGAGCCCAGGGGTTGGGGCAAAGAGAAGTGTGTGGAGATGTATACAGATGGGACATGGAATGACAAGAGCTGCCAGCAGTACCGCCTGACCATCTGTGAGTTCTGAGCAGTCACTGAGGTGGCCTTCATCCTGATAATCCACCTGATCTGTAAGATACAGTAACTGCTCTTCAACCAAATTCATGTGTGGCCATTAGCGTTAGAATCATTTTTAGTCACTTCATGTCCCAGATGGGCCCCAAACATTAGGCCATCTTGATA